GGGCAGGGGGGGGTTGGGGTGGAAGGGTGAATGAGGCTTAGGGAGTCCCGGATCGGAGAGCTGCGCTGTAGACTTACCCCAAGAGGCCTGAGGATAGTAGTGCCCTTTTTCCCTTTTTTTAGTGCTGAGATCCAGTGCTCATAGCTGAGTCACTGAGTCACTCCCCAGCCCATCTATACATTTAAATACTGCCTCGGAGAGCTGCGCTGTAGACTTACCCCAAGAGGCCTGAGGATAGTAGTGCCCTTTTTCCCTTTTTTTAGTGCTGAGATCCAGTGCTCATAGCTGAGTCACTGAGTCACTCCCCAGCCCATCTATACATTTAAATACTGCCTCATCATGGTGACTTTCATAAGACTAAGAAATGAGAATCTCCTACAAATGCTAACTGAGTCACCTTAAAAAATAAAGAGTGCTTAACATGCAAACATGCTTTATTGGATTTCAATTCTAGAAAAATGTGTTCATACAAATTTACTTCTTTCCAGGTCCCCATTCTCCAGTCACTCTGAGCAAATACGAGTTTTCTCCATAATAAAGCTTTCTCTGCGCCTTCACATCCCTTTCCAGTGTGTATGTTGGACTTGCTCCAGGTCCATTAGGCAAAGAATATTAGCCAGAAGGAAAACAACTGAAAAATTTTTAGTAAAACAGAAACAAAGCAAGTTTTATTTTGAAGTACCACATGATAAAATATTTAAATAAAAAAATTAAATATCACATGAGAATAATGCGATACTTCACTAAAAACTGGTAGCTGTAGAATTATCAGAATTAAACCTATCATTTTCTTAAAACCAATTTTTTTCAGTTTATCCTTTTTAAGAGAATTTCTCTCTCTCTTTCTTTTAGAGCTCTCCCCTTGGGATCTCAAAGATGCAAGTTCAAAATGTTTCTTCCAAGTGATTCCTCCGACAAGACTTTCTTCTTCCCTTGTCCTGCCTTTATAAGAATTGAGATGAGTAACACAAAATGACTCAACTCCAGGTATAGTTTTCATCTACTTACAGTGCTATTGTTTATGACACAAAGGAACGAGAGTGTAGCCGGCCCAGGAGCTCTGTCAGAGCCTCCCCACTAAGCCACGTTTCAGAGCATCGGCCCAATCACCAGGGGCCACCGCTGTGACTGCAGCAAACTACACAGTGAAAAAACTACACAGTGAACGAATCAGAGACCTGTTCCCCTTGTATGCAGGAAAAGAGCACAGACTTAAGAAGACGGTGGTGTCACTTGGGCTGCAGAGGTCTTCTCAAACCACCTTGCTTTTCCCTTAGAGGAAAGCAGACTTGGGCATATGCATCTTCTCGGCACTTCAGTTTCATCAGGTGCTTCATTTCATACTCCTTTTCGACTTTGATAGCTAAAAAACAAAATACATGAAGCGGCAGAATAGCATTTTTCATCAGGCAGAATCTTATCAAAGCTGAATATCCATGCAAACCCAATCAGACAAAAACCCAGCATAGAACTGGAGAAATGGGCAGCAGACCCCAACCTTAGCCAAAGAGATGCTGGCAGCTGCTTACTGCCAGGTGAGGGACTGCTGATCTTCTTTAAGGGAAAGACTCTAGATAGGCTGACTAGACCCCAGTGGATGAACTTGCACTGAGGGACTAACTTGACTTAATAGGCCTTAACATATATGACTGACAGAATGCATGAAATCAGAGGGACTAACTTGACTTAATAGACCTTTAACATATATGACAGAATGCATGAAATCCAGTGGGGTGGGCTATGGGGAAGGGGGTATAAAAATGATTAAAATGCTTTGTATGGGGGTTGGAGAGATGGCTCAGCAGTTAAGAGCACTGGCTGCTCTTGCAGAAAACCTGGGTTCAGCTCCCAGGACCCACATGGCGACTAACGGTGGTCCACAACTCCAGCCCTCTTCTAACCTCCTTGGACATTGCACAACACAGGTGCACTTACACACATACAGGCAATGCACTCATACACATAAAATAAAAATAATAAATAAAATATTTTTAGAAAGCTGTTTTGTGGGCTGGAGAGATGGCTCAGCAGTTAAAAGCATCGGCTACTCTTGCAGAGGACCAGGGTTCAGTTCCCAGCACCCACATAGCAGCTAACAACAGACCATAACTCTAGTTCCAGGGGAATCTGACGCCTTCTTCTGACCTCCACAGGCACTGCAGATACGGTTGCACTTATACACATGCAGGTAATACACTCATACACATAAAATAAAAATAATAAATTTTTTTTATTATGTTTGTTGCTGGGCGTGGTGGTGCATGCTTTCAGACTCAGCATTCAGGAGGCAGAGGCAGGCAGATCTCTGTGAGTTTGAGGCCAGCTTGGTCAACATAGTGAGTTCCAGGCCAACTGGAGCTACAGAGAGACCCTGTCTCAAAAAGAAAAACAAAAGATGTTGGCTAGGATAGATAAAGGCTCTTCCAGATGGTAACCCAACATACGACTGGAAAAATGAACAGCAGACCCCAATTCTATCCAAAGGAATACTGACAATGGATTGCAGTAGATGAGGAACAGCTGACCCTCCTGGAACAGGGACCTCTGGCTGACTAGATTTACCAGAAGGGCAGACAGGGGGAATGGATGAGGGTGCTGACAACACAGTGGACAGTGACAGGGATGGCAGAGTATGGAGCCTCTAGTGGGAGAGGAAGGCTGTCTATCTGACGAGTTTGTATTCATGCTCAGATGCCGAGGAGCTCAGAAGGTGGGCGACTGTGACCAGTGATAGTCATGCATATAGAGATTAGAAATGCATGTGAAAACATCCAATGTCAATTGCATTGAAAAAGAATTTTTCTGTATGAAACTGTGTATTTTAATAATGAAATGGAGATCTTTTTTAAAGGTTAAAACGTCATTTAATTTATGTCTTATAGGGTTTATACTGAGTACAATATTGTATAACTGTAATAATTCAACTGTAAACCTAAAAATTTACAGCCAGTTTTGAAAGTGATGCATCCTACCTCAGGAAACCGTTATTGAATATGTCAATTGTGTTGTAATGATATGCTTCTTCTAAGTATGTTGTTATTAAATAAATAATTTTTAAAAATTTAAAAAAAAAGAAAAACAAAAGATGTTTTGTATAAAATGTACAAAAATTCAATAGAAATATAAATTAAAAAAGAAAGAAACTAATATAGCTGGCCTTGTTGGGAAGACTCTGAATCAGGCAGATTTTTTTTAAGTTCACACATAAGAGTTAGATCCACAACAGCCAAGTACTCTAATATGACTTATAACAATTTTTCCAATAAAAATGAAAAATAGAAAGTTGTCTTTATGTTGAAAAAAACCTGAATATCATATAGAAACATTGACATTGTTGAAGAATTAACCACTTAGCTGGAGCTACAAAGATTAGTGGTATGAAAAAAAGATAGGGCTCATAGATGTACAAGTATATTTAAATATTCCTGATAGCTAGTAAGTGATACAATTAATATTTTATTGAGACAGATCTTAAGGAACTTACCTTCTGCTGAAGGGAGTAGGCCATCCTTATTGGTTTTACATGGCGTGAGTTTTACAGGAGAACCAAATGTAATTTCTCCCAAGAAAGGCAATTTGATGTTGGCTATGTTCATGTACCAGGTCTTTGTAAGAGATGCAAGATCCCATGGTTCCTGTCTGGGGGAAAATATTCATTAATTTATTCAATAAATTTTTATTGGGCAGTACTATATAAAATACAGAATACATCTTGCCAAATCTGAGTTCTGTTCCACAAGACATTTTTGTTTATAGAAGAGTAGTCTGAATTTTCCAGAGTCTCTACTGTAACTAGGGAAAAAAGTTTCCTTCTAATTAATGCAGAGACATATTAGAAAAGGGCCAGAAGTTATACCAGGAATGTTTGTTCAGAATGCAGCAGCCCAGAATCAATCCAACCTTTCCATGAAAAATTGTAGACAGGAACTGTAAGCTACCAAGTCCTTTATGGCTGATCAGAAAAAATATTACAAGTTGGGTGTGGTGGTGCATGCCTGCATTCCTGACACTTGGGAAAGGCAGCACAACCATAATCCTAGCATTTAGGAGGCAGAGGCAGGAGGATGATGAGTTTAAGGACAGCCTAGGCTATACAGTAAATTCCAGAGCAGCCTAGTGTATGCAATAAGATCCTGTCTTAAAAGAACACAAAGGAGCCAGTAAGATGGCCAGTGGGTACAGGCACTTGCTGCCAAGCCTGATGACCTGTGATCCATCCTCAGGACCAATATGCTAAAAGAGAGAACCAAGTCCTGCAAGTTGTCTTCTGATTTCCACTCATGCTCAGAGGTGTACACACACATACACACACAAACTTTTTTTAAAAAACTGAACAAAAAAAGTGTGTGTGTGAGAGTGTGTGTATTCACAGAAATTAAAGACAGAATCATATATGGAGCAAGGTAATTGGCGTACACAAAGCTTTGATGATATATGATCAGGGAAAAAAATATAAACTCAATCGTTATGAGCCTTAATTTAGTTTAATTCTGAAGTAGAAATATTAGCTACAAGTTTCTCATCTGCAGTCCTTACTACTTTAGCCTCATGTGCATGGGTCAGCAGAAGCCTTGCTTTAGGCTAAGATAAACGATATCACACGTGTTACCCTTTGATTTCCTCCTCCAGTTTCCCTGTTACTTCATCATGCAACTTTAGGGAGTGTGCTGGATAGCTTTAGTTGTCAACTTGACACACCTGGGTTGAGGGAGCCTCAATTGGGGAATTGCCTCTGTTGGGCCGGCCTGTGACCATGTCTGTGAAGCATTTTTTGATTACTGAGTGAAAAGGGAAGGCCCAGTCCACTGTGGGTGGTGCCACCCTTGGGCAGATGGGCCTATGTTGTATAAGAAATCAGGTTGAGGGCCGGGTGTGGTGGCACATGCCTTTAATCCCAGCACTCAGGAGGCAGAGGCAGGCAGATATCCGTGCTATTTTGATATATCACAGTGAAAGATTTATCGTCCTCTTTTTTTTTTTTTTTTTTTTTTTTTTAAAAAAAAAAAAAAAAAAAAAAAAAAAAAAGAAATCAGGTTGAACACGGGCCAGAGGAGCAAGCTAATAAGCAACGTTCCTCCATGGCCTGTGCTTCAGCTCCTGCCTGTAGGCTCCTGCCCTGAGTTCCTACCTTGGGCTCCTTGATGAACTGTGTGACCCGGGAGATGTAAGTCAAATAAACCATTCCCTTCCCAAGTTGGTATTGGTCAGAGTGTTTTGTCACAGCAATGGAGAAACAAACTAAACAGGGAATAAGTTAAGGTATAAAATTATTATAGAGGGGCTGGAAAGTTGGCTCAGCAGTTGAGGGCACTGACTGCTCTGGCAGAGGACCCGGGTTCGATTCCCAGCACCCACATGGTGGCTACGAACTGTCCTTAACTCCAGTTCCAGGGGAATCCGAAGCGCTCTTCTGACCTCTGCAGCATTACACGACATGGGTACTCACATACACATGTAGGTAATACATTCATACACATAATATTTTAAAAAATAAAACAAAATCAATAGAATTATTATAGATGTAATTGACAAGTCACAAAGATGTATTAGTAAGAATGCTCATTCAGTTTTTAAAAAAAGAAAAGAAGCAGAGCTGGTAAGATGACTCAGCTTAGGTAAGGGTGCTTGCCACCAAGCTTGACAACCTGGGTTTGATCCCAGAAACTCACATGGTAGACAGAGAGAACTGAACTGCACAAGCTGTCCTCTGACTGCCTTACACACACACATCCCTCAGGCAATCTGCAGGTCTTGACATGCATTGTTTCAGTTGCAAGCCATACCACAACAGACAGGCATTGTTATATCCTGTTTACAGATGTGGGAGTCAAGGCCCAGAGAAAGTGTGCAGAAGAGAACCAGGCTTGGAGCCCAAGTCTTCAAGACAGCTAAGTTGATGTTGTCCATATACTGCCTGCCAAAGGAGACAGGATGCTAAACTGACCCCTTTATACCACCTAAGGAAGTGAGTACTTTTGTGCCAGGTATTTTTAGTAGACTGGGTAACTCTAAACATGTGTTTTAATAAGGTTGTAGTAGCCAAGCTTGGTTGTGCACAACTTAAGTCCCAACATTCAGGAGTAAGAAGCACGTGGATCTCTGTGAGTTCTAGGTCAGCCTGGTCTCCATAGCTAGTTCCAGGCCAGCCAGGTGAAACCCTGTCTCAAGAAAAAAAACCAGAAAAGATGGTGGTAGTAAAAAATGAGACCAAAATATAAAGACGCACACACATATGTATGAAAATGTCATAATGTAACTCATTACTTTATAGTCTAACCTAAAAACTTAATTTTAAAATTGTTCTTGGGGCTGGAGAGATGGCTCAGCAGTCAAGAACACTGGCTGTTCTTGCAGAAGACCCGGGTTCAAATCCCAGCACCCACATGGCAGCTAACGACTGTCCATAACTCCAGTTTCAGGGAATCCAACAGCCTCTTCTGTCCTCTGTGGGCATTGCATGACATGGGTGCACTTACCTACATGCAGACAATACACACATACACATAAAATAAAAATAATAATAAAATGTTTTTAAAATGTTCTTAAATAAGATGACTCAGCTCCCTATCCTAGTACTTCGTAAACACTGATTTTTGATCACTGATTTTGATCAACCTATAAACTTCTCAGTTTTCTTATTTCAAAATAATCATTTTGGTGTAAAGACCAAATAGAATTGTCTCATAGTTAGCTTTAAATAGCAGCTTGACACAGGAGAATCTCAGTTGAGGTATTTCTCAGATGGAATTGGCCATACACATGTGTGTGGGGAATTGTCTTGATTTTTAATTAATGTAGGAGAACCCAGCCCGCTGTGGACTGCTCCATTCCCTGGGCAGGGGACCCTGGTCTGTATAAGGTGGCTAGTTAAGGTGAGCCTGGGGACCAGCTACCAAACAGCATTCCTCCATGGCTTCTGCATCAAGTTCCTGCTTGAGTTCTTGCCCTGACTTCCCTCAATGCTGGACTGTGATCTGGAAGCATAAGCTAAATGAATCCTTTTCTTCCCCTTGCCTAAGTTACTTTCGTTCAGTGTTTTATCACAGCAACATAATGAAGCTAAATGCTTGCATATTCTTATAAAAGTAGCCTTTTAAAAACAAAATCAAGCATTCAGACAATTCTTGTTGAGAACAGAGTGTACGGTCCTGGTAACAAAGGCACCCCTGGCTCTAGCCATTATACCAAGATAAAATACTAACACTTTATAACAACTGCCCCTCAAAATGGCTTTCACTGTGTTCCTTCTTGGTAAGCCATATGCCATGGTTTTCTTACGTAGGAGCCTGATGTAACGTCACGGATTCTCTGTTCACTTTGCCTGAAAAGACAGCAACATAATTAACAGTTTCCATGTATTTTTATGACCAAATAATCAAAATGTTCAGAGAAAGCATGTTGTGTGTCTGGAATCCCTAAATAAACGTTCATTGAGCCTGAACTCTGAAAATAAAACTGAGTTCTTTTATTTATTCAGGAAGACGCTTTATCAATTCTTTCCACCATATAAGGAGAGAAAATGCCAAGCAAGATTTCTCATCCTGAGACAAGGTTTCAGTTAACAGCATCAGCGTCCTGTCATGGTGTTTTGTCACTGCCTGAGCCTGTCAAACAAGTCAAACACCACGCCAACATGCGTGCCCTGGTAGCCGCTTTGAACACCAGTAGCTCTGCTGGCAGGAGCTTATAAATATAAACAAGTCCCCGTGTTTCCCGCTCTGAGTCTGGGCTTCAGGGGCGGGGGCGCCGACTCCCAGGCTGCTTTGCTTCTGGACGCGCAGCTCTGGGAGGGCAGAGGCCGCGCAGGCCTAGGAGCAGCCCCGGGCTTCGCCGCGTCCCATGCCCGCCCGCCCGCGCCGCCGCTCTCCCGCCAGTCTTTACCCTAACTTCAGGTCTCTGCAGGCCGCGGCCCCGCGACCCGCCGCCGACACGCGCCTGCTGCCTCCCGCGTCCCCCCGCCCAGCGCCCTGCGTCACCTGTCGCCTCAGTAAAGGGCTTTGTGGTGCACACGGGACACATCACCTCCGGTGCCCCACGCCCCGCCCCGCTCACAGGCCGGGTGCAGTCAAGCGGTTCACGCGGGCGCTCGAGGCCCAATGGGCCTGTGTGGAAAGTGACTGTGGTGATGCCTTTGGAGTCCTGGTCATCACTTAAGCCCCATGAAAATGGCAGACGTTGGCATTCTGCCTGAGGGATTTGCTAGTGCTTCCATTTGATAACGGTAGGTCCTTCCACCGTGTCACACGTCCGATCCTAAATGACTTCATAAAGCAAAGGTAATAAAGCAAAGATAAAACCTTTAAAGAGTCTCAACCCCTAAGGGCCAAATTATCTTGGGAGTCTAGTAACAACTCTGAAATTGGCTAAGGAGGTTACTAATAATTCCAGCTATAGGACGAACAGTCAAGTAACAGCAAGTTCCAGGGCCAGCTTTTGAGGTTAATCTCTCTACCTCACATGCTTCTTTTTTGTTTTGAGACAGACTCACTCTGTAACCCAGGCTGACCTGGTGTTCACTATGTAGCCCAGGATGGCCTCAAACTGGCAGCAGTCCTAGCTCAGTCCCCCAAATGCTGAGATTACAGGAATAGACCAGCTGCCCTGTCCTGATAGTATATTCTTCTAGGGTAAAGCTGCACAAGCACATGGGCAGGCATGCACACACGCACACACACATACACACACACGTACACACGTACACACACACACTCTGCCCTGCTGGGGATTGAATGAATCTAAGACTTCTGTACATAGTAGGCAAGTGATCTGTCACTGAACTGTCTTGAGGCTTCAGCTTCAGCTTGTGCATGCTTTCCAAAAGTTGACTTTTTTTAAGATCGGGAACAATTTTATTAGAACTTGAGAGAAAAACAATGGAGCAAACAAGTTGTAACTCAGCAATTTTACCAAAGAGAAAAGGAGAGAGGAGGAAGAGAGAGCCATGTGGTTTGTAAGCAACCACCCGGTGGGAGTGATCCTGTCACTTCAGAAGAAAAGAGCGAAAAGGCCTAGGGAGTTTGCGAAAATGTGCCCAGGCTTTAGCCAGTACCTCAGAAAGAAAAAAAAAAAAAAAAGAACTTAGACATTTCAGAAAGCAGGCAGGTTCCACAAGGTGCCAGGATGTGAGCTCTTGAAGCTCTGCTGGGGTGACATCTTGAGAAAGTGATTTTGCACTTGCCAGAAACTAGAAGGCAAAGACTCCCTGGCTCTTCAACATTTCTAGTTCCAGTGGAAAATGAGTGCCAAGGACTGGAAGTAGGGGTGGTTATTTTAATTCAAAAAAATGGGGACGCTTTTAAAGAATGGTGAGACCAATGCAGAAGAGTTCAATTAATAGATTATTTATTATTTTATGTGTATGAGTGCATTACCTGCATATCTATAAGTGCACCTGTATTGTGCAGTGCCCTGGGACAGAAGAGGGCATCGGCAGATCCCCTGGAACTGGAGTTACATTGCTTGTTAGCCACCTTATGGGTGCTGGGGACCAAACGCAGGTCCCTTCCAAGAGCAACCTGTTCTCTTAACCACTGAGCAATCTCTCCAGCCCCTCGATGAATTTATTTCAATGAATTAACACAAAATGGCAAATAAGATGGGTGTATCATACAAGTGTTTGGCAGATTTTCACTTCAGTCACATACACACACACTGTCTCAGATCATTTCACTTTAAAGAAGGAAAAACAGAAGTTATCTAGGGACACAAACAGAACTGGGCAGGGGCAGGCCACCTCAGAGAGGAAGTGATGCCATCAAGGCCTAGAGAGATTATGGGATTCATTCCATTGTGTAGGGCCACACCAAAAGAAATTATTGTAATGTCTCTAGTTGAATTTCTCTCTGATTCTTGGGTGTGTATAAAGTCTTTAAAAATTAGACTTGGGTGATTCCCTATGACTCACTTTGAATATAGAGGAAGTTACATAGTATGACTTCTAAGGTGAGGTCATAAAAGGGTTTGTGGCTTTCTTTTTTGAAGATTTTTTTTAGGTGCATCCATCTGTGTCTGTGTATGGGTTTGTGTACATCTGTGCAATGCCTGAAGAGACCAGAAGAACGTATTGAATCCCCTAGACTAGAGTTACAGGCAGTTGTGAGCCTCCTCGTATAGGTGCTGGGAACCCAACTCTGGTCCTCTGCAACAGCAGTACCCACTCTTTACCACTGAGCCATCTCTCTGGCCCCCATGGCTTCCTTCTTGCAGTCTCCCTTGGATGACTCAGCCTGGGCAAAGCTATCTGCCATGTTTGGACGACTCTCAATTTTCCTGCAAAAATTTTCCTTTTGCTCCCAGGCTCAGATCAAGCATTCAGATAGCCCCAGCCCCAGCTGATAGCTTGACTGAAACTCCATAGAGATCCAGAGCCAGAGCAACCAGCTAAACAAGCTTCAGGATTCCTGGCCCTCAGAAAAGAAAATAGGCTTGGGATGTTCCTCAGTTGGTACAGTGCTTGCTTAGCATACAAGAGGCCCTGAATTCCATGCCCAGCACCAAATAAAGTAGGTGTGGTGGCATACACCTATGATCCTAGCACTCAGAAGCAAAAGATCAGAAACTTGAGTTTACCCTGGCCTAGGTAGCCAAGGCCAGCCTGGGCTACATGATATACTATCTTAAAAAATAATAGCGACAGGACTGGAGAGATGGCTCAGCAGTTTAAGATCCTCCGTAACTCCAGTTCCAGGAGCTCCAACACCCTCTTCTGACCTCTGTGTGCATTTCACAGCATCAGTGCACTTTATATACATGCAGGCAGTACATTAATACACATAAAATAAAAATAAAGATAATTAAGTGTTTTCATTAAAAAAATAATTAGCTAATTGATTCATTAAATTAAATAATAGCAACAGGGCCAGGTGTGGTGATGCACTCCTTTAATTCATAGCACTGGGGAAGCAGAAGCAGGCAGATCTCTGTGAGATCAAGGCCACCCTGGTCTACATGGCAAGTTCCAGGCCAGCTGGGGCTACAGGGAAATCCAGACTCAAAAAAGACATAAATAAGCTGGGTGCGGTAGCGCACGCCTTTAATCCCAGCACTTGGGAGGCAGAGGCAGGCAGATCTTTGTGAGTTCAAGGCCAGCCTGGTCTACATAGAGTTCCAGGACAACTGGTGCTACAAGGAGACCCTGTCTCAAAAAGACAAAAAAAAAGTAAGTAAATAAATAAATAAATGCAACAACAACAAAGACAATAAATGCTCATTGTTTTAAGCCATTCACTTTTGGGATGCTGATTACACAACAATAGATAACACTTAATATATCATTGTCTTATTATGAGAAAAATAGCCTATATAGTAAATGTCTATATGTCAACAAAGAGTACATTATGGTATCACCACAACTCTACAGACAACTGCAAGCAAGAATAAAAAATATTCAGAGAAGGGTGCCCACTAAAGAGTTTCCCCACTGTTCTAGTTTGCTTTCAATTGCCATGACAAAACACTATGACCAATACCAGCTTGGGGAGGAAAGGATTTATTCGGCTTAGATCTCCCTGGTCACAATTCATCAGGGAGCCCAAGTTAGGAAGTCAGGGCAGGAACCTGGAGGCAAGAGCTGGAGCACAGGCCATGGAGGAATGCAGCTTACTGACTTGCTCTCCTGTTCTATACTCAACCTGCTTTCTTACACAATACAGACAACCTGCCAGGGATGGCATTGCCCACAGTGGGCTGGGCCCTCCCACATCACTCAACAATCAAGAAAATACCACCACAGACATGACCACAGGCCAGGCCAATGGAGGAAATTCCCCAACTGAGGCTCCCTCTACCCAGGTGTGTCAAGTTGACAAAGCTGTCTAGCACAACCACATACTATTTTCAGTACTTTCTTTAGAAATACCAAATTTGGGGGATGTGGGGGGATAAGGAAGGGCAATTGGGAATAGGGAAGGAGAATGATCTAGAACAAAGTATAATGGCACGTGTGTATGAAGTGCCAGAATGAATCCCATTACTTTGTATACTAACCTAAAAATAATAAATAACCAAACTCTAGGATGCCTCCCTGCCTCTCTCCTCTTCTCCTCCCCTTCCCTCCCTCCTTTTTCTATCTCATGTTTATCTCCATCTCTATCTCTCTCAGTCTCTCTCCCCATTTTGCTGGAGCCTCACACCTATCTTCCTGTTAGATAAGCCTTTGCCTATCTCTAGTCCAGAAAGTTAGGATTTGTCATTTTAATAGGTTAGGAGAGCATTGCTGCCCCCTAGTGTTAAAATGAAAGTACAGAGAGGAATGCTGAATAGACTGGAGTGTCGTAATACATAACCAAACCCAGAAGCAGTGTGAAAGCATTTATGTTTAGATGTAGTTCAGTACACTTTGTACACATTGGCTCATCTTGTTATCGCACAATAGATGACATTAATAAGTTTGTAATGGTATTTTAGAGAAGAAAACTCGGGCATCTCAAGCACTGATAACATCCAATGTGGCAGGATTTGAACCTGAAGCAAACTGATTCTGATCTTTGTGATCTCCTCCACACTATACTACTCATTCTCCAAGAATGGGGCGGGGTTGTGTATGATCCATGTGTACTTTTGAAATTACCCTTCTGCATTACCATTATTTTCCATGTGTGTATATTCGTCCTAATTTCAAAGCGTGACAATTCATTTCTTTAGTCTGTAAATCACAGGTGCAGCTTCCACTTTTTTATGGCTACTTCCAAAGTTTGTCCAGGATGGCATGACTTTCTAAGATAACAATAGAACATCTGTAACTTTTAAAAAACATTTTATTTATTTTTATGTGTATGAGTGTTGATGCCTGCATATATGTAAGTGCACCCATGTCATACAGTGCCCACAGAGGTCAGAAGAGGGCATTGGATCCCCTGTAACTGGAGTTTCAGACAGTTGTTAGCCATTATGTGGGTGCTGTGAACTGAACCCTGTTCGTCTGCAAGAGTAGCCAGTGCTCTTAACCTCTGAGACCCCTCTCCAACCCTGTTATCTGCAAAATTTTAAGAGCACCAAGAA